GTTCCACACTCATAATGGCATATTTTGCAGATCGATCAAATTTCCGGACTCTTTTCGAAAGACTGCTGATTTGTAGTTTAGCCTACATTAATGAGCAGTTGTTCGCCATTCCGTTACTGTTAGTTTAAAACTGCAGTTCCAAAACAACTCATTGGAAGTGATTTTCTTTTTTTGTCATTTTTTCCTCTTGTAAGCGAATTTTCTGGTGCTACATAGGGGTTGTCTAGAATGGGTTATTCTGAAATTTTTGGGCAGTTGTTTTTTGTATTTTTGTATCGATATGGATTTCGTAAGCATAAAGCGGTAGATTTCATGTTAAGACGGTTAGCGGAAACGAAGGACGTATTTTTCAGATGACCTTAAGTGTGAAGAGGAGCGGTTTGTTTCTGAGGTTACGTTGGGCGGGGCGCCTGAAATTAGTCGATTTGGGTGGCTAGTGTTGTTCACTTTAAGGAAGGAAGTCTCGCTTCTCTCACTATTTTGGCGATAATGTAGCATGATGTTGCCTTTCTGCCGGCATCGCAAATTGTTATGACTTGAGTTTTCCTGGTATGAGATACAGAATCGTGTCCAGACCAAAGTTAACTTTTTGTGTTGGTTCTTCTTTGATTTTCGATCGTTTAGGCCTGAAGTTCTTTTCTTTGTCTCATTTGTTTTCCTGACATTGAAGTCTCAGATTCCTATCATTTGAATTTTTGTGAGTATTGCCTTATCCAGGTAAAAAAAAATGATATATTTCTTAGAACTATTAAAAGCGGTAACATATTTGAAAGTGTCAATTATCTTGTATCTCCATACATTTCCGCTTAAAAGCGAATTTGTCAGAAAAATTAAAGAAACAGTTGATTGTTTATAATTGATATGGCTTCAGTAAACTCAGTTGTGACTCCAAACGTTCAAAAGCTTAGGTGTAAATTTTTATATCTTTTTAGATTCGAATTCGTGTTTGACTTTTTTTTTATTTGCTAGATTAAAGTTTTCACGGATGTGTACGGCATATTGACGTCTGACGTCATTGTTTACTTGCATTTTGATACTTCGGTTTTGATGATAGGCTGTAGGTTCCGTGATGAGTATATTTTTACAGCGTCTTTGAATAAGGTTTTCAATGTTGTCATTCGCTTGACATGTGAAGACACGCTGTTCAGTGTGCGTAGTTTCTTTTTAGTACAGTAATGCATTTTGGCCTATAACCTTCGGTTCTCATCGGTGATGTTTTTAGATTTTAGCTGAAAATGTTCCCAAATTCTTAAGCAAGCCGATATTTAAGGATGTTTTTCAGAGCAAATATTCGTAGAGTATCTTTTTCAAAAATTGGACTCATGTCTTATTAATTGTTGTTGAAATTTGCAATTTTTATCAGCAATTGGATGACGATAACGCTCAACATATAGTGATTACATAAAAATATTAAGTGACTTTTTGAAAGCTGATTGACTAGAGATTTAAGCTGTTCACTTGTGATGCTGTCGGTGCGCTGAAACTTGTCTTTCATATGAAAATCCGTAATGTTTCGTAAACTTTTCTGTATTGGTGACCTATATAGAATTTATGCCTTTGGCTTTGCAGGGGTCCTCAGGTATCAGATTTGCACAAATAGGGTTGTAGAAGTTTCATACAGGTGCCGATCAACAATGCCTATCGTTCTCAACGTTTAATCTATAAAAAGGCGATTTGCATTTTCAACAACAAGTTAGTTGGTAAGTTCCTTTTTTTCTTGTCGCAGTCTCAAATGAATTTTTTTTGGACTTAAGGCGAAACTTATGAGATTGAAATGAAGTGCACTGATAATTGGGAGACAGATTGAGAGCAAAATAGAAAATGTCTTTTTGAAAAGTTTTTTAGAAGTTGTATTTCAGTAGTATACAGATAGGAAGAAGATTTTTTCAGGCCTTTTAAATCTTCCAAAGTAGTAAGAAGTGAAGCCAGACTAATTGTGAGCTTAAACAGAGGCAAACAAATTTTCAAAGGTAACCATAGTGATGAACTTTTAAGCGTAATCAGCTGGTTTCTCTTTGCAGAAAGTCGTATAGTAGGTTGGTGATCTTTGTCGAGGTGAGGAAAGCAGTCCATCAGCGACTGAATATGCTGATCTATTTTGTATTTTCAAAATAATTAAAAAAAGATTTTTCTGATTGAAGCACTAGGAAACAATTAAAAAACATTTTTTTTAACAATCTTGAACTCTGGTTGGTAATGTGGGAAAATTCATTTTCTGTTTGTGTTTGATGCTTGAAAGAGTTTATTGCCTTCATATTAGCTGGTAAATCAGAAAGCCTTTTGACCTACTGGGAAAGTTGATTTTTTTTTTTGGTTGTTCATTGTTATGTATAAACGAAGAGATAGATTTTGGGAGAACTTGTTGTGCTAGTTAGGTCTTTAATTCTTTCCATTTATTATTTTTTTTTTCGTGAAAATTTAGCTTTTTACTCTGTTTTTTATTTTTTATTCTATTTACTTTTACGAAATAGTACTTAAACGGCAGTTCTGTTAAACGGCAAATTCTTTAGTTATTTTCGTTTTCTGGATTCAAAGCGAAAAGCCTTATGAGTTTTCCTGTAGTTGGAGCTGGAGGACGAGGGAGGATCGTGGAGTTTGTAATATTTTGTGATACCATTTTATGAAATATATTTAGAACGAGGATTTTTCAGCTTTATGGTTTTGTGGTGGTTTAAAAAATGTATGATGACTGGTTTGTTTTGGAATTTCCATCTGTTCGGCAAGAATCAACACTTTCGCTGTTTTCAAAGTAAGTTAAGTTGAATCTGGTTAATGTATTGCTTTTAGTTTTATTAGTACTTCTTGAAACTAGAACACTCCTTGGTGATAATATGTATTGTCTCTTTGACCGCTTCCATCTACCTAGCCGAGTTTTGCAACTTTATTTTTTTCATTTTAAGCCACGATTTGGCTGTGCAATCGTCTCTTCTGCTGATTTACAAACTTATTTCTTCAAAAAGTACTTTTTGGAGATTTATAGCAGAGCTGTACCTGGGTAATCGTAAGCTTTAGTCTGGGTTTATGACAGATAAACAGTAAATTTTAGAGAAGCTAGCCAGTATGTGACGGATGTGCTTATGCGAGAGATCTCGAATTTTATAGAGAAGAGTAGTAAAGCTGAACATGGATTGCCCTTTTTTGAAACGGAAAATCAGCTTTTATGGGTGATGCAGGTACACTTCTATTCTTATCATAAGCTATGGAAATCACAAAAATCAAAGTTGCGTGATACTTGGCTATTGAGTTTTTAGCCTTAGAGATTCTATTTTTAGGTTATATCTTATGCTATTACTTTATCATACACGCCTAGTAATGAATACGAATCTCTACATGCTGCAGTTCATACATACATCACTTGGTGTAGCGTTCTTACGAAAGAGCCACACCCTAGTATTCCAAGACCATTAAGGAAGGAGCCAGAAAGATATGCTAAGTTAGTGGGGTTCCTTGTTCTTATTTATTTACTGTTGTTTAAGTAGATCTCAAATTTTATTTTATTTTATTTTATTTTTTTTTTTT